TTCTGTTGTGACGGACGGCAGCAGGCACACTCATAAAGGCTTACATGCGTAGGTATGCACCCTACAGCCTGGCCGGAGGAGGATCTAGAAGCTGGGTCGAAAGAAGGAAGCAACATTTGCAAAAGAGATCTTGAAGGGTTCCGGGGTTCCTCTTCCGACACTGGCCGGTTGTGTTTCGTTTCAATCAGCCCGAGGACATGTTTGACAAGGTTCCACGTGTAAGTCCATACTCGGAGCCGCCACTGATCTCCACAAAACAAGCTTACGACCCAAACCCACATGCACCAGATAAGCTTTGCTCTGGAGCATGAAGGGGCGCACGCGCGTCACACATGCCCAAAGTATACACTCCAATGAACGTAGGTCTTTGAATCGGTAGCCACGCGAGGAGAGGCAAGTACGTTGGAGGGCGGGTAGGCAGTGTCTGGCTAACCAAGTCCAACGAAAAAAACATGCAGGTCAAAAGGAGTGCACAGACACTTTCAGGCACCAGCCTACAACTTCCAGGCCCTGCCCCCCCCCTAAACCCGTTCAAAACTTTTCTGCAGTCGGATGTCTGACAACCGCGCTGAGTCCACACCGTAGTCTTCCTGATGGGACTGGGTGTGCTGGCGGAGTTTGAAGTAGCGGTAACATAACCTCGCAGTGTGTTTACAAGGTAGGAACCTGATTAAGAAACCTTGTGCCTTTATTGGGGCTCCTTATATGAATCCTACTACGTTAGGGTTATAGGCCCAGGGTTTCTTAATCAGGTTCCTACGTTAGTCATGAATCCGACTTCGGCCAGCTTCAGCCGTTCAGGTTTCGATGGGTTTGGTACTTTGAGTTAAGGGCGTTTTGGCCTTCAGCTTGTAGTTTTGGAAGTAACTTCGGAGCATGCACAATGCAAATGAGGTTATGGTGGGTACATCGAAGCTGCCTCCCGAAGCTCTTTCGGTGTCAGTCAAAACATGCAGGCGCACACCTGGGCATACGAGTATAACGACCTCATAAATCAGAACAAACGTTGTAGGTGTATTGTATTTGGACAACACAATCACTCTTGGGGTATTTCATATAAGGGCCACATGTAATGGGATACTCATGCTGATTAATGAATCCACCCTTCGTCAGCGTTTCATTGTTGATGAACTTTTCAGCAGCAAAAAGAGTCCATTGGGCAGACATTTGTGCTGCGATTACCGTGCAGCACCCGTAGACTAAACCTTCTGTTGCGGATCATGGAATATAGGGCCTTCATAATTCGAACTGAGATTTGGAGCATAATATACCGTGCTGTATTTGGGGACTATAGGGGGATACTACTGCGAAATTCTTCCGACTCCTATAGTAGCGGAGATCCACGTTTGCACAGGGCTCTATGGGTTGCTCGAGTACACTCTAAGCCCCGAGCCCTATAAACCTTAGTCGTTTGACCCCAAAATCCAAAACCCCAAGACCCTGAACCACCCTGAAGCCCAAAACTCAGGAGCGCCCTCAAACCGTGAATTCGATTTCGACCCAGCAGCTGGGCTTGCAACGGCCTGCGTCGGCTGAGGAGCAGCCCTCTCTTGAGGCATCCTCTTCCTTACAATACAGTTTTAGGGCTTAGGGCTTAGGGTCTAGGGTTGTTTAGGGCCTCCTTGCAGTTTCTGACTTTGTTTAAGGTTTGGGCTCTAGTCTTCGGGTATTGATCGGGTTTAAAGGTAAGGTTCTGTTTGGTGTTCTGAGGCTTCTGCGGGGTTTAGGAGGCTTGTCCAGACTTGTGATGGGACTATACAAGACTGTTATGGGATGGTGTAGGGTCTCAATCAACTCAACTTGCTCCCTAAACCCACCCTAAAACCTAAACCTTTGTTGCCACTGAAAACCCTAAACCCTAAACCGCATGCTCTACTTTGTGCGGGACTTCGGCCTCCAGGTTCACGGTACCCTCTCGAGCACCTATCAAACACCAACTCGGCACCAACTTCTTAACCCGAAGCAAGCAACTGCCAGACAGAACGGAACTCCCAGCCGGTCCGTGTGAATCCCAAACCCTGTAAGAGGATGAGGTAAAGGCTTTCGCTGGTGTTTTGCGCTGGCATCCTGCGAGATCTGTTTCCCGGCTTGAATCAAAGCTTAGGCTGCATCTTGATATCAACTCTAAAACCTTTCATGTGTTCATCGCATGAGAATTCTGCTTCACGTGCCGCCAAGATACCGTGCAGCATGCGAGCGAAACCTGGTCAGCAGGCGCTCTCCGAGACAGGCAAGAGCCTCGAATCAAGGCGCTGGCTTCGGGTTCAGGAGTGGATGGGCTTGGTGCTGCTTTGACCAATGGTGTACCCTAGGCCAAGGTAATGTGGGTCTCCTGATGCCGTGTCCTTATGTCTATTGGTGGGCTTTACGGCTTTTCGGGTTTCAACTCTCAAACTCTCGCAAGGCAGGCAAGGCTCCACATGTCGCCTTTGTTTGGGTTTAGGGCTCATGGCTTTCAGGGAAGGACAGTGACATGGTTTTGGGACCAAGGCAGCCACCAATGTCCAAACTAATACCGGCAGCGTGTATGCCTCAGAAACATGCATCCACAACAGTAGTGATTGGAGTCATCTATGGAGCTAGACGAACAGAAAATCAGCACGGCGCATGAGCAATGCATGTATTGGTGCAAACTGAAGGCGAAGAAGGTGCACCTACCCAAACCCTGAACGTTAAACCGTGGCTCTAAACCCTGCCCTACTGTGAACCGCCGTCCAGGTTTGGGTGACCATCTCTTTGTTCGAACTACAAAATTAGATCCCAACCTTGAAGAGTACCAAACAGGTACTGCACTGCAGGGTCTAAGTAGATCCCCTCAGTCGCGCATGACACGAGAAGAAATTCCAAGAAGCACCTCTAAACCCTTTATCTGTCATCCTTAAACGACTAAAATCGAATCCAAGAAGCACAGGTGCCACTGCCCAGGATCACCGCTTTCATCGCCAGCCCTGTCTTAAGTTCGGGCTTGGCTCCTTTGAAGTCTATGATTACAACTGTTTTCCATATCGGGGCCTTACACTTTCTCGGGGGTGGTGCTCTGAAAACTACTGGGCATTTGTGGGTTCGCTAGTGTTATTTAAGGACCCTGCAACTACAATTAAGGTAAGTTGCAAACCAATACGGTCCGGGTAAGTTTCAAACCTATACGATCCCTGTATATCGTACTGCATATGTACGGCGGCAGGAAGAAGAGACAAATGTAATTAATCAAAGGATTGGGTATGTATGCTCACATCACACACTAGCAGCTAAAACTCTGAACATCGGCCACGATCCGAATCAATCCGCAGCCCACGAATCCCGAGTCTAAGCACTAGATGCACACCCTAGCCAACCAGAAGCCTGCGGTTTGTCAGTTCATGTGGCTTCTCAAAGGTATGGCGGCTCTACTGCAGGCTCAATGACACCAACTCTACTACTACTTCTCATAATAATGGTAATAATAGCAAAACTGATACAATAATAACAATAACAACAACAAATCCTGCTACTCTGCTGCAATCAGGGTGCCATGGAGCTCCTCCCGCGAAATCTCCAGCGGCGCAAGCATTGCTGCTGTGGAGTCGGCTCTTGTTTGGGCTGCAGGCTGCTACGGCTGCAGAGGAATACTCCAAGGAAACCATGTCAATTCACCAGAAGGTTTAGCGCGATAGAGTTTATGGTTTAAGAGTTGCTTTAATATAGGGGCCTTAACAATTAGAATGGGGTTTTGGCGTGTATTGTACTACAATCATGATAAGGAACCCTGTATTATTCCAGCGAACCCAAAGCCCTAAACACTTCTGCTCCACAGACATTCCGCTTCAGAAAAGCCCCGTTCCCAACCCATATGCCGATTTCGTCACGGGCTGAAGCCTGTGCCCTTGAAGATCCAAGAACTCACGCATAAACCTACAAGTCCTAGCTCCGAAAATTCACAACCATGCACTTCAGATAGCAGACTGAAGCCACGAGTTCGACACAGTTGGACAGCTACATACCCACCCGATTGTTCGACAGCAAAGCAGGATTGAAGCAGAGGGCTCAGCCTGTGACCAGAGACTAAGACTTGCTGCCCAACTTGGCTCAAGTTTTTGGGCTTAACTTGTCGCACATCGAAGACCACCCACAAGCCCAAAACCCTAAAGCCCACTTTCAACCTCCGGCCCAACAGTTGCAGAAGGGGGCATTGTTGACTTGAATAGGGCTCAGGGGTAAGTACACTAGGTAACGTGTATCAAGGCGAAATGAAAGGTTCTGATCTGCCAGACATATGCTAAATGGGAGTTTCCGACAAGTAGGGGTACCTTACTTTGGGGTCCTTATAATAAGGATCCTACTATTTAGGGTACTATATCAAGGTCCCTTTATCTTCGGAAACTCCGATGTAGACCGTCTGACACCCATTCCCTGACGCTCTCAAGCTTCCGATGCGCCTGGGGTTTGGGGTCTGGGCTTAGGTTCAGTTCTGAGGGGCCCCAAAGTAGTTCCTGTTTGGGACTACCTTATAGAATTCTATATAGGAACCCCAAAAAGGAACTACTTTGGGGCATTAGGGTAGATATCAGCTCTTTCAGCTTACTGGTCCTGCCTCTCGTTTTACTGCTCAAGCTTCGCAGGTTCGGGCATTAGATGATGAGGAAAAAAACACCAGGGCTTTCCGGTGTGTATCGTGCCACAGGATCTATATAATTGAGTAAAAAGTCAGTATGTGTGTACATGTGTATATCTGTATAGGGGTATACAGTCGGTATACATGTATTAACAGGACTCCAAGGGAAAATCATTCAGGAACAAGTTCTCGGAACTCCACAGTTGTGGGGGGACACAGATCTCAAACTGTCTTGCATGCCCTGCACGAAAACGCCAGAAAGCAGGTGTCAGGCATGTCGAAGAAGTTGGACAATGACCGATTCGGTGTACCTTCAACCCAAGCTTCATGAAGCTTTGCAGACTACCAACAAACCGAAGAAAGGCTCCGCTAAACCCTAAACCATAAAAGGCAAAGAAAGGCTCCGGGCATTTCAAGCTCAACAGCGCCAGAGCGAGCCACGGACGTTCCTGGGCACGACTGCCGCACGAAAACGGATGTTGGAGGAAAACTGGTGCCCTAAGGGGCCTGGATAACTAGACTCTGGTTTAGTATATCTTATATAACCGTACCGAGGAACCCTGAGGAATAATGATTGGAATCATCTCTTCTGCAAGTATTAAACGTATTTCATCCCTAAACTCTAAACCGTCTGAGAAATACTACTACTACTACTACTACTACTACTACTACTACTACTACTACTACTACTACGACTAAACCCCAAACCCTAAACCGTCTGAGAAATACTACTACATCTGACCACCGAAATCCGAGGACCAGGCCCCAACCGCTTTCGCTGTGCACCAGAGGTGCAGGTTGTGGAGTGCGAGACGGTTCCTCCTCATGGTCTGGGGGTAGATTCATATATATATATATATGTGTATATACATATACATATATCTATCTATCTATCTATCTATCTATATATATATATATATATATATATTTGATCTTTGTTCGTTCATTGTCCGTGCACCTGAGGTCTCAAGTCTCCTTCTATGTAGGGTTTAGGGTTCAAGATGGTCTAAAGCAGGAGAGCTGAAGCTGAAGCAAGCACAGCAAGGGAAGACCCACCTTCCAACACAGCCCAAAGCAGTGGACCAGTATGTGTGCCGCCTGCTTGAACCCCTGGCAGCACACACGGTAGCCCTTTTTGAACCCAGACTCTGCCGATCAGCTGGGAAGCACTGCAAGACCTAAATCTGCAGCAGCACAAAGGTGACCGTCTCATCACTACAGGCCTGCAAACTTCACCGCGTAATCATGGTCTGAGCCCTAAACCCTAAACCCGAAGGGTTTGGCCCTTATACCGTTTACGGCTCTGAAGCTTAAAGCTCAGGCTCGGGACGGTCCGTGGTGTAGGATTTAGTGCTTTGGAGTTTGAGGTGATCTGCCAAACGACCTACAAACATAATACGGACCCTCAACAAAGAACATGGCTTGGAGAACTAGCCTCATGATGAAGCTGACTTCGATGGGTCTGTTTGGTAGCAAATATGTAGGACCTGATATACTAGCCTGTATAAGAACCATGAAACCGGATATCATACAATATCTTTGTTAGGTTTAAGGCTATTTTGGGTTTGGGGCGTTTTAGCGCTTTAGGTTTGAGGGACCCTTCATACAGGAGAACCACCGCCAGTCCTGTATGCCAGTCATAGTCGAGTGTGAGCGGGAACTTGGCCCACCTGTGCACGAGATCATCGCGTTGTGACATGGTCTTCGTTTATTGCCCTGTTGCCGTCAGGAGGGGAGTGAGGGCGGATATGGGTTGAGCTGCGAAAACCATACTTGACTAAAGTGTAGGCCTTCGGCAGTGGCAAGAGCCCCAAGGGGACAAATCCGCAAGCCTGCTTCCGCTCCTTGCGACTGCAACAGCAGAGACAAGGCACAGTCTCGATCCTTACCTTTGGTTAGTAGGGAATGGAGGAATGGGGTACAAGTATAACTACTATATTACTACCAACTCTTCCATTCCCCACGAACCAAAGGTAAGGATCAGGATACCCTGTGTGACTGCAGCCCTTGGTCCGAAATCTCTGAATTTCAAAAACACATCTACCCGCACTCACCTCTTCACACGCAGGATCCGCCAAATCCGAAAGCCCTGAGGCCCTCAACCCTCAAGACACTCGAAATTAAAGAAGCCCACTACAAGAAGTCCTTATACAAACCCTGAAAGGAACCCCTATGCTTTGCAAGCCGTAATTGGCCTGCACCAGCAGTTGAGCTGCCTGAGGGTCGCAGCACCTGAGACTTTGGAAGAAAATGTGCACTTGTTAATGCTGGCGGCCACTCCGGCCTGAACCCTAAACTTTAAGCTGTGTAGAAGTCTGTAAGAGAGCCTCATGCTAGGATTCCTCTTACATGCCTCCGAAGGGAAAATAGTTTGTGAATCCGTGGTCCATTTGAAGACGAAGCAGATTCGGAACGCGAGCCGATGAAATGAAGAGAGTCGGCCACTCACCCTCAACCATGTCCCAGAAAGCTAAACCCCCGAAGAGCCCAAGGTATACCCCGAAAGTGTTCAGAGCTGTGCGAGTGCGAACCGCCACGAAACCTGGATCGCGAACCTTTTGCTTGCGAAAACTCTCTGCCTCAGCTTTTCCGAAGGGCCCACTTACCTACATAGTGTATTCGAACAGAAGGGCTGGTGCAAATTATTGATATACATTCATAAACATGTGTATATGTATATCAATATAATACGTTTTCATATATGTATATGTAAATGCCTATGTACAGATGTAGAAGTATGAGCGTTAGTTTAACTCTATATACATATTTATGTATGTACATATATATATATATAGCAATAGAGAGACAGAAAGAGAGAGAGAGAGAGAGAGAGAGAGAGAGAGAGAGAGGTAGGTCTTGAGGGGCCAGAACCTCGCTACGCAAGTAACCGGACTCCTGAAGGGTTTGACCGTCCCAAAACTGTGGCAACATGACCCAGCCCTTTCCTTCTAGAAGAGACTTAGGCTGTGGGCTCCGACTGGGAAATGTCTGCAGATCCACGTATAAGCATGCCTATATGTTGTGTACTTACCCATAGGCCCCAAAGTAGTTCCTTTTTGGGACTACCTTATAGAATTCTATATACGAACCGCAAAAAGGAACTGTTTTGGGGCCTTAGGGTACTTACACCTTGAAGGGGCCCCTCAATTGCAACTGAAGGCCGGGTTACAGCCAAACCCCTCGTGGCGCCCCAGGGTTTAGGGGTTTAGGGTTTATTTTAGGGTCTGGGCCCTTACCGATCTCTTCAGAAAAGCCTAGAAAACACACGCATCAGAGCTCTCAGCAGCTGGGAAAACACGCACCTCAACTCACTCTTGGAACCGAATCTTTGTCTGGCTCTAGGTCCAGATCGAACAGACTGTCATTGCAAAACCCACCAGGTGCTAGTTGTCTTACTCACAATGCCCGAAACCTGTGTCTCCAAACCCTTTCGCAATTTTGTCGCCGCCATTTCATGGAGGCAAGGTCGAGCTTAAGACGATCACCTCGCAAAGCCCAACTTGTGCAAGTCGCGCGTTGGAGCCTTGAGGATTTGTTGTGCGCTCTGAGCGTGCAGTGCTTGCGTCGGTGGCTGGCAGTGTGAGGGCCCGCTGTAACTACTAAGCTATGTCATATACATATACATATACATTTTCATATATATATATACATATATATATATATAGAATATAAGAAAAATGAAATAAAACAAAATGCATATAAATGATCGGCTGCAAAGCCAGGCTCTTACACCTGAAGTGAACTTGCGCAGGCACCAAGCTAATTTGATTGAGCGGTATCCTCAACGCCCAACCTGAACACTGAACCCTTCTGCATAATCCCTATGTAGAGGCTGTTGATGTTGGTCTCGCTGTACCAATGTAATCACATAATTGAACATTTCATGGCGAGCCCACCCTTCCGACCTGACGCCACCTTACACCATGCTATGGCTTCGTGTCCTCAGACTTGAACTCATCGTAGAAGATCTCGGTGATTGCGCTTCGAGTTTGGGGTTTTGGGTTTCCCATGCAGTGTAACTTAAAACTCTGAATGTTGAGGTTCGGCCGTGGGTGAGCGATGCATGTTTGAGTTTACGCTTCAGGGCTTCGGAGCCCAGGGTCCAAGCACGAAGTCTGACGGATCCTACCAGACCATAGCCGGAATCCGTGCACCGAATCTCCTCAGCCGGGGGCCAAGGCGCAACATAAATCAGTGGCCATGTAGTTGAATAGCAATCATGGTGATGTTGCGGGTGCCCCAACTTGCCATGCTGGCTTTGGCTTGAGTGGCACGTGTTGTCTACCTTAGGGTAATCATGTAGATGCAAAGCCCTACGTTTTGAGTGCTGGGATGGTATTCTGCGATCCCACGTGCAACACCACCTGACACCTGTGTAAAGGCTCCGGGCCCGGATGGGCCATTGGATGACAGGCGAAGATACTGCGAGGCCACGAAACCAAGCAAACCGTACCAATTCACTACAGGGGTTTCGTGTCATGTTCGGCTTCAGGGTTCAAGGCACCCTAGACCAAGTCTGCGTCAAGCTTTTGCAACCTTGAGAACCCTAAAGCCTAACAAGCCCTGCAAAGCAGTCGAGTGGCGCTTGTCTGGTTCACTCCAAAGGCGAAGTCCCGATACAGAAATTGGCCTGAGCCCAAGACTCGCAAAACCTCAAGCGTCTTTTCAATGAGGAAACCCCAAACTCTAGAAGCCCTATAGGGGCCTCAAAAACTAGAATAGATTTTAAGGCCATTATACCACAATAACTGTAATAAGGACCCCCAAACTAGCATAGGTAAGTACTGCGGCCCTAATATTACACCTGACGAAACGAGACCGTTTCTGGTTTTGTTGCCGTCCTCTAGGAAGTCTTCGCCGAAGATCGACTCTGAGTGAGCATGTCAGGCGCTTCAGGAATCAAGTGTTCTGGAGTTCGAAGTTCAAGACAATTGCCATGTTACAGAGTCTTCCTTCAGCCCCCAAACTACAACTACGTAGGAGGGGACCCCATGCCATAGATATGGGATTATATGGATTATTGGACCCATTGGTGTTACAGGCTAGGTTCTTCATCCTCAGGAGAGGGTCGTTTGGTCGTTTGTGGTCTTGTTTCTTCTGCAGGGTTGCCACCTGTCACAAGCCGACAAGCATTAGGGTGCTGCGCCTCCCTTCCTCTATAGGGATTGTTTTTGAGGGTGATAATACCAGAAAACCTTTCTGCAAATTCATGTATTCTCGTGATCGACCCCAGCATGAAGGAAACCCCAAACGGAAACCCTTAACAAAAGGGATTCGAATCCCGTGGGTTCTACCTGTTAGACGAGGCACCAAGCGATCCGTTTGCGTCCACCAAGAACTTCTGAAATTCTTTCAGGTTCGCAGCTTCAGCAGCATGGGCGCGGAGGCGATCCAGACCTCGAGCTTTTCCGTGGTTCTTGCGTGGCGTCAGGGTTTAGGGTCTAGGGTTCAAGTTCACGGGAATCACCACGACAAGCAGGTCCATATCAGCTACTATCCGCAGGATGGCATTCGTTCATGCCAAGTCAGCATCAAAGCCAGAGTCAGGGAATCTCCGCTAGTACATGCGCGGGTCTAGTGAGGTGGTCTATGGCTCCAGGAGGATCCGGTAATGCTACTGAACCGATCTTCGGTCATCAGGCAGGTCTTTTACCAACTGGCTAGGTCCAAGGCGGACGAGGAGGAGCAATACCACCCGGACCTAATCTCAAGTTGTATTGATTTCCGCATGAGGTCCAAGGCGGACGAGGAGGAGCAATACCACCCGGACCTAATCTCAAGTTGTATTGATTTCCGCATGCGAGACCCAAAATGCTCGTAACCCATGTGTATGCCAGGGCGTAGCAGGGACTTCACGTTCTGAAAGCTGAACCCAGCCTGAACCGAACATGCGAAACCCAAGTAGCTGTTTTTACGCACTTCTACATCTTTATAATCACGAACCCCCCAAACAGTATTGTGTATTATTCGAATTCAGGCCCATATATTAAACCTCAAAGCCCAAAACCCAGGCCACCCTGGAACAATCGGTTTAGGGTATTAGGGTCTTACCATCAAGAAGTTGGGCGGTCCTTAAGATCAGGTTCTTCGATGCACGGTCTATAGAGTTCCTTGTGCGACCAAATCACGGGCGCGCAAGACCGGAGACTCGAAAAACTCGGAGCCAAGCTCTGCCTGTGGACGAGCTCAGAATTCGTAACAGAGGGGGCGGTAACAATTGGCATACAGTCTTGGTGTACAGTTAGTTGTTTGTACCTACATGCGATGCTACCACGTTATTCAGGCGTCTGCACGTTTATGTCTAGGGCTTGTTGTGTTTATGCGGCCTTGAGTACGAGGCGGCTGTGAGGCTTCACATGATTCTTATGGATTGAAGCAGGCCCCATCTGAGCGTATCGTTCCTTGTTGTGGGAAGTGTCTATACCGGAGGGCTCTTACTTCCAGTGTTTACAGTCGGACACCTCAAAAGTACACTCACCGGACCTCCCAAGGAGAGCCCCACCTAACAAAACACCTCGTGTTGCGTCAGGCACTCGAAATCCCCGTAATGTATAGGGGCCTTAATGATTAGAACAAGCTTTTTGGGGAATACCTAAAACCAGTTATAGCCCCCACAACCCTATTCTAATTATCAAGGTCCCTACATTATGACTCGAAGTATGACTTCTTCTCCGCCTTGCAGTAGAAGCATTTTCTATGTTCCAGGGTCTTGTGCGACTTTGTGGTGATTTTGCTTGGAAGTGTCGGCTCGGTGCTCCTCGTGAACAGCTTTGGGCCTGGTGTCGTTGGGCCTTGCTCTTCGATGTTGTATAAGATGGGGTTTAGGGTTTAGGGGCAGGCCTTGGCCTTTGTGTTTTCTGAGGCCAACACCAGTACGGTACTTTGCCTCTTGCCGACTGCAAAACCCAAATCTTTCTTGCCGCCTGTAGGCGCTGGCTCCCCATGGTCCAGGACTCGACGGGCTTGGGGGTGGTGGGGTGTGCGATGCTTGGATTTAGAGGCCTGCGAGATGATGTGTGAGCTGCAGGCTGGGACTTGCTGGAGCCGCGCCGCCCAACACTGCTTAGCGTTTAGGGTTTACGCTCTAGGGCTTAGGGTTTAGGGGTTTGGGGGTTTAGAGTAAACCTCGCTGCATGACACTCCGGCATCATCCAAGAATCCAAACCAACACCAGATGACATTGCGACTGCTATCGAACGCCCCCCTTGAATAGCTTCCCCTAGATACTATAA